ACTTTGTTCTGTCTGTTACTACTTGCAACCACGTAAATCCTAGTTTTTGTATTTAATAAAATCACATTTTACTTATTAATTAACTCAGAGTATGTATTGATACCTGGAGGAGCAAACAGCTGTGCATCTCTCTCTATCAGTGTTATAGAGGGCGAACAATTTATGAGTTTACCCTGCATAAGCTTTATACAGGGTAAAATGGATTTTTTTGGGTTTAGAGCCCATTGGGAGTTGGGCATCTGAGTGTTAAAGACAGCAACACTTCTGTTAGCTGCTTTCAGGTAAACCTGCAGCTTTGGGGCAAGTAATTCAGACCCTGGGTCTGTGTTGGAGCAAATGGGAGTGTCTGGCTCAGCAAGACAGGGTGCTGGGACCCCGAGCTGGCAGGGAAAGCCAGGGGCAGAAGTAGTCTTGGCACATCAGGTGGCAGCTCCCAAGAGGGTTTCTGTGATCCAACCCGTCACAAGGGACAGTTACAAACTGGCCCACATGACACCACCTGCCTGCCCCCCTCCCCGTAAGGCTGAGACTCACCTGAGCACCTGCTCACTGAACCCAGCCAGCTCCACCTCGTCTGCGGGGCTCCTCTGGCACCTGCAACAACACGGTCAGAGCCGCCTCAGCCCTGGGGCGCCCCAGGGAGCTCCCCGACACTCCCAGAGCCACAGGGAGCCCCCACCCCTCCCCCAAGCCACAGGGAACCCCCGCCCCCAGGGGATCCCCCTTCCCCGCCCTTAGGGAATCCCCACTCCCCTCACCCAGAGCCATGGGGAGCCCTCCAGCCCCAGCCCCCGAGTGCCAGGGATCCCCCCTCCCCCTCCGAAAACCACCAGGGAAAAGCCCAGGCAAGGCCCCAGAAGCCCCCACCCCGCAGGCTACAGGCAAGGAATGGGGGGGGGGTCCTAGCCCCCGAGGAGTTACAGTGGGGCGGGTTCATACCCCCAGGACTCCAGGCAGAGGTTCACGAAGAGGCAGTGGGGGGCAACACGATCCCGCACCAGCCGCAGGGCAGGGCCGGCCAGGAGGGCCTCTGAGCTGGGGCTTAGCACGAGCAGGGTGTCCACCTGGGGGGAGGGGGGGAGATACGGTCAGTCTGTGCCCAGCTGTGGGCCCCTTCCTCAGCTAGTGCCCCTCACTCCTGACCCGCAGCCCCTTGCCAGCCCAGCCCCAAGCCCCTCCAGCTCTGCTGGTGCCCTTCACTCCTGACCCGCAGCCCCCTGCTAGCTCAGCCCTTCCTCCCCCCAGCCCTGCCAGCGCCCCTGACACCAGATCCGCAGCCCAGACTCACCGGCTCCCCACGAGCCACCAGGTCCCAGAGGACGTCGCTGACGGTGCTGGAGCCGCTGCTCGGCTCCATTGTGGCCTGGGGAAGAGATGGGGTGAGACGCGGAGCCAGGCTGGGCTGGGGGAGAGTGAGTGAGTAGGGACAGGAGGGGCTCTCACCTGGACCTGCTGGTGCAGGCTCTGGACGTTCTCCAGCAGCGACCCGGCCAGCGCCTGCACCTCCTCCCAGGGGCCGCGGCCATACAGCACCAGGCGCGCCCGCTCTGCCACCGCTTGGCCCATCAGGCCCAGCAACAGGGCCACCTCCAGGGCCTAGGAGAGATGGGGGACTGTGAGCTGGACACGGCCCCACCCACAGGGCACTGCTGTGAGGTGAGTGCAGCACCCTGCCCTGCCCCCAACCCCCACAGGTGTAGAACTAATGAATGAAATTGTTTTTAATTGTTCACTTTATTAATGTAACTTCATAAGTAAAGTTTTATGAATGAAACAATATTCATTCATAAAACCGGTTACCACAATAACTAGCTAATTAACAGTTAAGATGCTTGTTAAGAGCCATAGCTGTTCAGTCAGCTGCCTTTGTAAGTTTCACTATCAATCCAATTCCTGCTTAAATCACTGAGACTTGCACTGTTTCACTATTGTAATTTCTGTTCACCATTTATTACACTTGCCTACAGTGTAACTTCTGTTCACTGTTTGCTATATTGTAATTCAAACCACATTTTAAAACGCTTACTCCATTTTGTAAGGGCTTGCTGCAACCTTCATTTTTGCAAACCCTGCTGTAATCTTATTAGTTAGTTTAGATGTGTGAATGAGGTATGTATGGATGATGGAATCAACCTCCAGCCCCAGCCTGTCCTGATTAAATAGAGTTCAAACACCAAGGGCTGAAGAGGCAGACAAGAGCCCTAACAAAGTAAGAAGAATCCACCCTAAAAAGAAAAGGTACAATAGAAGGAAGATCAAAGCCCGGTCCGGTCCTAGGCTGAAAGTCATGTCTGCAATTGACGGGTGATCAATCACCAAACCCAAAGGCAGCCTGACACAGCAAGACCTATAGACTCTGGATTCAAACAAAAGCC